GTAACCAGGAAGATAGGGTTAGATTAACAAGGTTTGTTTATACAGATTTCTTGTCTAGAAATTCCCTGTCTCTAGTAATAAAAACGTCCTCTTTCCTCATGGTACAGGGAGGATACCACTCACGCCGAGATTTAGGACCTGTTTCAGGAAGGGACAAGGGATGGGGTCAGAGTGACTTCCTTCCTTCTGCCATTTTTTCAAACACTCAGGTTAAGATGTTCAGTATGCCACGGTGCCAAAATTTGGAGGTAGCATGTCCTGAGCCCCATCACCAGTCTGTCTGACCATCCGTTCATGTATTCATTTATCATCAATTCTACAATAATTTATTGAGTGCGTCCCACAAGTTTTGAAAAAATTGTCAGGAAGTAAAACGGGTTTTCCTCACTGGCCACAGCAGAACCCTGAGGGTCCAGTCCTCCAGGTAGTCGAGGGCTTGTGTCCACACCTATGAATCTAAAAACTATTGACAGATTCAACATTATAAAACATTATTATATCGAAGATCTACACTCAGATTCACAGACTTGAACTTGAAGGGAGCTTAGAGCTCCAGAAGCCCAGCAGTTTCAGATGTTTTTTATTTCAAAACCTTGGCTCAAAAGAAATCTTACACAGGGTATAAAACAGAGCGGGTCTGACAGAGCAGCACCAGCACCACCACCCCCGCCACTCTGAGGTAGGGCCCCCAAAACACGGTATGGAAACTCTTCTCCTACATCCACCTTATTGCACAGCTCGGGACACGGGCCCACAAAGAGGAGACATGGCCAAGGGCACGTGGAGACTTTGGAATGTGACAAAATGGAGACTGGGGTGCCAGGTAGAACTTAAAAGGAAAAAACAGAACTTATACAAATGAACAGTTAGAGACTCAATGGATGGATTAATTCATAGAATAGATACATCAGAAGAGAGAATCAGTAGCCTTGAAGAGATATTTGAAGGAATTAGAATGGAGCAAAAAGCAGAAAAGAAGAGAGGTTAAGAAACAAGGGATAGCATGAGAAGTTCCGATATAACTCTATCGGAGTTCGGAAGGAGCCCCTGGGAGAGAGGCAAACATTCAAAGGAATAACGGCAGAGAATTTTCCAAAATGAAAAGACACCAAACCTCAGATTCAGGAAGCCAAGCAATCCCCAAACAGAAGACATCCACATTTATAGTTACCATATTGGCACTTTGTTCAGCATTGCTTAATCTTTGGCAGCTGGCACAGTTGCAGCACATAGTAAATGCTTTATAACATATATAGAATGAGGGATCCCCAGGTGGCTCAGTCGGTTAAGCATCTGCCTTCCGCTCAGGTCATGATCCCGGGGTCCTGGGCTTGAGTTCTCCATCGCGCTCCTTACTCAGCAGGGAGCCTGCTTCTCCCTCTGCTACTTACCTGGCTTGTGCTCTCTCTCTCTCTTTCTCTCTGACAAATAAATAAATAAAATCTTAAAAAACAAAACACAAATATAGAATGGATAGTGCAGAACACCAAAGATGAACATTAAGATCCCCAAAGCAGGGGCGCCTGGCTGGCTCAGTTGGTAGAGCATGCTACCCTTGATCTCAAGGTCGTGAGTTCAAGCCCCATGTTGGACCGTGGAGATTACTTTAAAAAATTAATTTAAAAATAAAAATTAAAAAATCCCCAAAGCAAGCAGGTAGAAAAGATGTTGTCCTAAAAGAAATGACAATTACACTGGCAACTGATGCCTCAGCAACAACAAAAGGAGTCAGAAGACAGGGGAATGGTATCTTCAAAGTGGTGTGAAAAACAACCGCCAACCTACGATTGTGTACCGTGAGTTATCTTTCAGGAATGAAGAAAATAAAGGCCTATTCAGAGAAATGACAACAGATTTTTATCAGCAACAGACCTTTGATCCAGAAACATTTAAACAATCTTCCTTGTGGCAGAAGGACATTTTTCCATAAAGAAGATCTGACACACAAAGGAGAGAGTAAACATGTGGTTTAGTGTTCAAAACTATACTGGTACCTTTCAGGGGGAGCTGGCCAGGAACAAAGTGTTATTAAGTCCTTTTCTGTCTGGAAGGAGGGTAAACACTGGATTAACTTTAGACTTTGCCAAATTAATGGCTTGGAGAACCACTGAAAAAATAGAAATAGAATGTGTAATTTCCAAGACAGTGGTGGGTGTGTGCGTGGTGGGGGAGAGAGCCTTGATCAACTCTTTTGTTGTTGTTTGGTCAATTCTTAAAAAGCCAAGAAAAGAGAAAAAAGAAACATGAATTTGGACCATCGGCAAACACAAAAAGAAGATCGGTTTTATATGTACACATCATGATCATACCTTTGTGAATGATTTTCTAGAAACTTCCAGCCCTATTGTGTTTATAAAAGACACACCTAAAATATACAGACACAGGAAGGCTGAGAGAACAAGAGGGGAAAATGTTAAACCAGGCAGGGGTGCCTGGCTGGCTCAGTCAGTGGAACACCGACTCTTGATCTCGCGACCTGAGTTCGAGCCCCACATGGAGCGTGGGGTGTACTTAAAAATATATCTTAAAAAAAAAAAAAATCAGGCAAAGAGAGCTGGTGTAGCTAGATTCGTATCGACCAGCTTGCCTTTATGGCATCAACTTCTTGGGATAAAAGAGCACCAAGATCTAAATAACAAAAAGTTCGATCCACCAGATTTAGGAGGAGATGTTAGATACACAGACTCAGGAAGCAAGTTAATAATTACCCCTGTCCTTCAAGAATTGCTTTAGACTTTAGGAGGCTCTTTGGCATTTATTCATTAAATGTTCACAGCAACCGGTGAGACAGTGGAGGAAGTGTTACCATCCCCCTTTTGCAGACGAGAAGGTCAGAGAAGTTAGGCACTTGCGTAAGGCACTCGGCAGCAGAACGGATGGCGATCACAGGTCTTCTGACCCCAGGTCAAGTGCTCTTTCCTCTCGCGGTTGCAACGGGGAAAGCATACAATCTGGACAGAGGGTGGAAAGGCTTGGCAGGGCTCCATGGGGAACAGCGTGGGCAAAGGCTTGGCAGGTGGGAAAAAGCCTAGAGGGCACTGTGACTGGGCCGAGGCCGCCACGCGGGAAGAGTGGGTAGGGTGGACTCCAGGCAGTTTCAGGGGGACCCGATGGCCAGCCGCGTCATCTATCTTGCACGTGCAAGAAGCTTGCACAAGGCCACGTGCTTCGCCACCGGATGCGCAGTGGGGCCGGGACCCTCACGGAGGACCGCGCGCCCGGGTGGCCGCCCCCGCCCGCTGCCCATGCGGCGGCCACGCTCCCGACTCGTGGAGCCCCCGCGTGCACCTGCAGGCTCCGCGGCCGCTGGGCGGCGCGTTCTCTGCGGTCCCCCCACCCCACCCGCCTGGGTCGTTAGCCCTCGCCCGAGGTCCTCTCCAGTTTCAAGCCCGGTGGGGTGAAGGAGGACCGAAGGAAGACAGACGCCAGAGGACGGGCCCAGGAGGCCAGGAAAACTGACCGCCGGTTCTTTGGGTGGGAAGAGGAGGGAGGCTCTGATGTCCTTAATTGGACAGGGATGGGGGTGGCATGGCCGGGGGCAGACGGAGGGGGGCGGTGCTGTAAGGAGCATGTGGATGGACAGATGCACGCCCAGGCACGGGGTGGGGGCACCAAGTTAGGAAGGGATCCTGTGGGTTGAGCTGTCTCCTGTCTCTTTTGGAAAGAGGTGGGCGGAGTTGCGGGGGAGCGGGGCTCGGGGGGCTGTCCTGGTTCTGAGCATGGGCTGTGGAGTTAATCCCTTGGCCCCTCTACAGCCTCTGACAGGCTGTGGGGCTTGGGCTGGGCAGGGAGCCCCTTAAAGCTCCAGTTTCCTCATCTCTAAAACAAGGGACCTAATGCTTAGGGCTGCAGTGCCTGTTTGGCAGGGTGTATGGTAAAGGCTGCATGGCGTTTACCATGGTCCGGGCGCTCATTTTGCACAGTGTAGAAGCCCCTGTTACGGGCCAGGTACTAGTCCATGTGCTGGAAATACTCCAGGGGAAAAAAGACAGTGGCTCACAGCCCCCGGAGGGAGAGGACCAAGCTGTATTCTCTTTACTTTGTTAGGGGGTGGCAAGTCATGGAGAAAAATCATGCAGGGTAAAGAGAGGACAGAGTGCAGACAGTGTGATTTGATGTGCGGCCCTGGGAGCAAACAGTCAAGAAAGAATTCTTGAGATGTTTTCAGTGTAGAAAAGGTGGTTTTATTAAAGCACGGGCAGAAAATGCTGCACCAGGATTGTGAGGAGCGGCTGATTATATACTTTTAAGTTTGTGGAGGAAGTCGGGGTAGAGATAATGTGGGTTTCTCAGGAATTTTTGTGCACTGAGAGCAGGGTCTACAGGACCTTGGAGGCCTGGCTGTCGTCAAGGTAAGGTTGCTTTTCGTCCCTAGTAAAACATCTACAGGAAGGCAGCCTTGAGTTCCTTGAGGAAGGTCACGCTCAACCTGTCTCAGGTATTCGGCAGTGGGCTGCAGGCTGTAAGGAGATGGAATTTAAGCTACATCTCTCTGGCTTTTGTTTTCCTCATCAGGGAACCACTACAGTGGGGGAGAATGGTCAAGGAAGGGCTCACTGCTGTGGTTAAGGCAAGCCTTGAAGGAGAGAGGGAAGGAGAGTTCCAGGCAGAGGGAACAGCAGGTGCAAAGGCCTTGAGGCGGGGATGTGCACAGCACTTTTGAAGAACATCGAGGAGGCTGGTGTGTTTGGAGCGGAGAGAGCAAGAGGGACAAGGCGGGTGAGGTCTGTGAGGTAACGGGGGGCCAGATAACACAGGACAGGGTGTGAGCAAACGTTCTTAAAGGCCAGAGAGTACATGTTTTAGGCTTCGATCGAGGTCCATGAGGTCTGTGTTTTGACTCCTCTGCCGTTGTATCAAGAAAGCAGCCAGAGAAGAGCCATAAATCACTAGCGGTGGCTGGGTTCCAAGAGGACTTTACTTACATAACAGCTATTGGGCCTTGAAGGCAAGAGCTCGGAAGAGGAGGGGCCAGCCAGGTGACAGGGAGGGAGCTGACAGGCGGGAGGGAGGGGAGGGAACCCAATCAAAACCCACACTCTGCACACGGAATAAAACAAAGCAGAAGGACTGCGTCAGACTTTGCAAGGCTCTCATCCTGCAAGCCAGGAAACTCAGGTCTACGGGAGCAATGAGTTCCGACTGCTCACAGAGCAAGGGGTTTTTATGGGATAAATGCAGAACTCATCTGGCTTTTGGAGCTGATTGGTCTAGAGCTAATGGTCTTTCTTATTAGGATTCAAGGGACTCCAAGGGAACAAGGAAGTCCTGAGAGAGCGTGAACAGACTTTGGTGGTCGGGGATTGGCTGGTGTCCTCAGCTGATTTCTGAGAAGAGCTGTAAATTCCTGTAAGATTAGGTTAAGTGTCCTTTATGCGCCTACGTTGGCCATCTCCATTCTGTCCTTGACATAAGTGACTCCACTTTAGTTTGGTTCCACACCCAAGAAGGGGGCATCCTGGAGTCAGGGAAGCAAGGGCTCCCAGGAGGACGAGTGAGTGACCCCCGTCCTACGGCGGCTACTGCCTCCAGAAAGCCCAGGGCTCTGGGCCGGCTAGGGGCATGGCATCTCGGGGATCACCTGGAGGAAAGCAGCTTTGGGCAGGTGGGGGTGGGAGGAGCCGATTGCAGTGAGGTCGGCAGAGGTGGAGATGGGAGAGGAATTGGGATTTGGGTGTGGTGAGGGTGGGAGAGATGAGCTGGAACCTGGAGGCTCAAGAAGGGTGGTGGTGGTGGGTTTTTTGGGTGGTTTTGTTTTCTGTCTTTTAAAGTTGGAAGAAATAACCACCTCCTTAGGTGCTCATAGGAATGATTCAGTAAAAAAGGGGGAAGCTTTGGTGGGGGGGGTAGTTTCTGGAGCAAGGACATCAGAGCCTGTGTCCCATCCCCCAAGCTCTGTACCCCGGTTCAGGCCTGAGTCGCTGTGGGGCCGTGAGGGGTCACGGGTGCTTTTCCTGATTCACAGAATGACACCTCGGAGGCCAGTGGTGGCTCTGGGCGCTGTCCTTGGGGAGGCAAGACGGGATGGCCCCCAGAGTGCTGGGGAGGGTCGGGCTGGGAACGGGACCGCCCAGGATGAGGGAAGGGCTAGGAGGCTATGACCCGGAAGCTGGCTGGTAAAGGAACGCAAGGCATTTCTCTTCCGATTCCCCTATTTTGTTGAGTGCAACAGAAAGCAAGGTCGGCTGGAGCGGGGGAGGGGAGGGGAGGTGGTGGCAGGGGTTTGAGGACAGAGGAGAAAGTGTGAATTGGCATCAGGAGGGAGGGGGAGGGAACTAGAGTCTGATTCTCCCGCAGCCTCTGCCCCCACTTGGGATGGAAGGTGGTCATTTGGAGCGAGGTTTTCAGTGTAGCAGTAGGGTGAAAAGCACTAGTCAGCGTGGTGCAGAGTGAGGAGGGGCGCGGGGCCGGGGTGAGGGTGTGCCAAGGGCTGCTTATATGCTGGGTGGTTAAACTGTGGAAGGAGGGGTGAGAAAGCAAGCAGCAAGGGACAGTCAGAGGGTGGCAGGGCCAGAGGATGGGGTCTGATGGGGGAAAGACTACCGAATCGGGTACTAGAGGATGGGGTGGGCCCTGGAGCTGAAATTATGGAGTGGGTGCCGTTAGGTAGGATGACCAAACCTGGGGACACCATGGGAGCAGGTGGCTGAGGTGGGACAAAGGGCAAGATAGTGGGAAAGGAAGAGAGATCAAGGACCCCGCTCACCAGGAGTGGGAGGTGTCAGCCGTGTGGATGGTGAGATGGTCAAGAACTGTGGTGTGTGTTGGAGACTGGGACAGTGAGCCAGAGCTGAAACCGGCAAGGAATGAGGGGACAGGGGTTGGGCTGGTTTTGGGGCGTGCCTGGAGCTTCGGGTTGGAGTGTTCTAGAGAGGGGAGAAGGCGGGAAGTGGGGGCGGGAAGTAAAGAGGGGCCCCTCCCCCGGCCTAGTGGTCTGAGAGAGCCCCCACCTGAGAGGGCTGCCCAGGAAGCAGGGGCCGCAGAGAGGTCTGTGGTCAGTGTTAGAAGGAACAGGTGCTGGAGGACACGAGACATTGTCAAAGGAAAGGGGGTGGTACGGGGGCCTGACCAGGACAGCTGGGGTTGGGCCCCAGGGCAACCAGGGGTTGCTGGTGAAGGGTGCATTGTGGACCAGGGCTGGGGTGTGACTGGGTGGGAGTCGGGCATCCTGTTCTTGCCCTTCAGAACCCATCCGATCAAACAGGCCAGACCGGCTGTGGTGTGGGCCAAGGACGCTGTCGCCTTGGCTTTGCCCTGGAGCCCATGGAGCTGAGACCTGATGCCAACCACAAGGAGAATGTGCCCCCCAGGCCTGTGGCGCCCCTGAGGCCAGGCAAGAGGCTTAATGGGTCTGGGTTGGATGTGGCAGGAGCAGCTATTGGCCCAGAGCTCCTTTCCCGTCAGGCCAGCCCAGGGCCTCACTAATTCCAGAGATTAGCTGGACAGGGCCAGCTGGACCGGGACAGAGTCTTCCTAGCCGGGGGCTGAGGGAGAGTCAGGAAGAGGCAGGCCAGAAGTGGGCCTGGCTGGGACCCCTGGCTGGGAAGGGACGCCACCCCCACCCCCCGGGGACGGTCTGTGCCGGGCTAGTGGCTCGGGTGCTGGGGACTTCGAGAAGGCTACAGAGCTGGTATAGCCAAGGATGGAAGCAGCCCCCGAACAAATTCAGATTCTGATTCACAGGCCAGTTTCTCCAAGTTCTAGCTGTGTGACTGGGGCAAGTTGCCAAACCTCTCTGAACTTTAGTTCCTATCTTCAAAGCTGCAAGTCTTCTGGTCCACTGCAGATACTAGGTCCTCCCAGGCACTTCCCCAGCTGCCGGGAAGCCTAGTCTTCCGCTGTGGAATGGCCTTGGGGGCTCGGGAGACTACACCCCACCCCGAGTCCCCAAGAGCCGCTCCCTTGCAGCTGTGGGATGTGTTGGGTCTTGTTCTAACCCCCGGGGCTCTCCCCCATCACCTCCGCCCAAGCCAGAAATCCGTCATCCTTGGCTCTTCCCTTCATCCCCCCACCCCCTTCTGAGCCTCCACAGCAGATCCGAATCTGTCTCCGAATTCCCTCTTCTGTCCCTGCCACTCCTGATCTCTGCCCTGTCGTCTCTCACCTGGGATGCCCTCAACACTTCATTCCTGACCCCCTGCTTCCCTCTGCCCTCCACCCCGCCTGCGCCCCAGCCCTGCTCCCTGCAGCCTGAGTCAGACCACCACTCAGCCCCCTGGGGGAGTCCTTGGCCCCCTCCCACCCGGGGCCCTGTCTCTGACCAGCACCCCCCAACCCACCCGAGCACTGAGCACCAGCTCCCCCCACCCCGCCCCGCCAGGGCACAACTGTCTCTCCTCTCTTTAGAGCAGCAGAGATTCCTGAAGAGCCGAGATGTCGGCCTGGGCAGTGGACTTGGCCGGTGGGCGCGCTCGTACCAGGCCCAGAGGGGAGGGCCTGCCGCCACACCCTCCCCAGGGGCCGAGCTGCACCAGGAGCCTTGCCGAGTCCAGACCAACCTGGCTGGCCTGAGCCCCGGCCTGAGCCTTGTCCTGAAGGACACAACTGGCCGGCTGATCAACTCAAGCTTGCAACAGCAGAGCAACCTGGAGCCCCCGGCCGGCAGGCCCCAGGGGAGGGCCCGAGAGCTCGCCATCCAGCAGAGTAACCTGAGCATGAGGGGGACCAGCTTGGCCGAGTGCAGAAGCCCCATCAGCCCCCGCCTCTGGCCCCACGTGACCCCTCTGTCCCCACACGATCCTCGCCCCCAAGGATCACTGGCTTGCCCATCCTCCAGCCTGAGACAGTCCCGGCTGCTGGCCACAGACTCCCTCAGCCCAGACGTCCAGCCAGCTGCAGGCTTTGCCCCTTTCAATGGGCACACACGGCCAGGCTCCAGACCCTGGTGTGGCCTGGGGAGCTGGCCCTCTAGGATCAGGGGAGAGCCCCTCACCCTGGAAGACCTGACTGTCCCTGTCCAGAGCCAGGCTCGGGGCCCATCCCAAACTGCCATCCACCAGCTGCTGGCCTCTGTGCGACACCTGGAGCACGCAGTGGTCCGTCTCAGGTGCCAGGCGTTCCAGGAACCCAGCAGTGGGCAGGTACTCCCTGCCCACGCCCAGCCCAGCCAACCTGTTCTTGCTTCCTGGGATGGGAGGAAGAAACACCTGCCAGGTCTCAGGGAAACTGCCAATTTCCCAGAGACACAAGGGACCCAGGCTGGCCTCTCAGACTCTCAGGCAAACAGGAAGCCTGCGTCCCTGGAGACCACGCTGGGGATCCTGCCTGGGGATTTCCTTGACCCTAAGCAGGGGGTCCTTCTGGCCAACCCCCTGAGGCAAGGAGAGAACTTCTCCCCGGGGCCGACATATGGCAGCGGGCAGAGGGGAGACCCCTGGCTCCCTCGAGGGGCGGGCAGCAAGGAGGCCAGACTCTGCTCTTCGGCCCGCTCCCGTGCTGCCCGGGGCGGCCCCACTGGGCAGAAGGGAGGGGAGGTGACTCTGCAGGAACAGGTCAGCAAGGAGGAAGAGAAGATGGCTTCCTGCCCACCAGACGCAGCCCCAGCAAGGAGCACCATGCAGGTAGAGGCCAGAGGAGGCTGGGTGTGGGAGCTGGGGGACCCCAGGAGGGCTCCTCCCAGGAACTCTCGTGGCCAGCTGGTTGCCACTACCCTGTTACACCCCCTCCCCCCGGAAAAGGAGGCCTTGGGCAGGGGGTGTCCTATCCTGCTCACTCCTCAGCCTGAGAACTGTGTCACGTCCTTTTGCTTTCCAAGAAAAAAGCCCGGAACGTGGTGAGCCTGGCGTCTGAGACAGCCCGGTGAGGCCCTGGGCTGGGGGGTGGGGGCCGGCCACCCTCCTGGGGCAGCTGCTCCCCCATTTGCCTGGGCCAGTGGAGACCAGCCCCTGATGGAGGTCGGGCCCTGGTGGCAGATCCACGCAGGGCTTCCGGGGGAGGGGACTTCCTTCACCCTGTCCCTGCTGGGGAACGCGAGGGACCTCCCAGGCCCTAAGGCCAGGGACATGGGAACTGCTGTGGCTGCTGGGAATCTGCAACTTCTAAGGCTGCCTGGCACTCTTGGCCATCAAGGGGGCATTCTGTGGCTCCAGCAGCTTGCTCGTCCGGGATTTCCCCGGGGCCGGCCACCAGCAGAGGGCAGTTCCCCCAGTCTGCAGCTGGTCTTCCTGCGGCAGCATGAGGCGTCAGGGCTGGACAGGTGACCTGGGTGGTGCCCGGCCCCCAGCTGCTTCCTGGGGCCCAGGGGCCAGGCCCACCCCCCTGATCAGCCCCGGTCTGGCCCCAGCCGGCAGTGGCTGTCCAGATGTTTCGGAGCCTGGTGGCACTTGGTGCAGGAACGGCAGACAGCGGCTGCAGCATTGGCCCTGGGCCACCGGCAGGTGTTACGCAGAGGCCTGAGGGCGCTTGGGCGGGCTCCGCGGCTCCGGGAGGCCCAGCTGGAGGTGGCGTGGAGGCGACACACTCAGGCCCTACTGGCCCAGAGCTTCCAGAAGGTCAGGGGCCTCCTGGTTGGGCCATGGGGCAGTGATGAAAAGCTGGTATGTCTGGGGAGGGGGTGCCTCTGGGGCACCTGTTCTGTACCTCCTGAGTGAGCTGCAGTAGAGCAGGTGGAGGGCCACCCAGACACCTGAACCAGCTCTGCTTGTGTTCACATCCTGCCTCCGCTATTTTCCTTTTTCCATGATTTCTTGCTGTGTGGCTTTGGGCAGGTTACTTAACCTCTCTGAGCCTTAGTTTCTTTCGCTCCAAAATGGGATAATAATAATAGTACCTACCTTTCAGGGTTGCTGGGATGTTAAGTTAATAAATAGAAAGGACTTAGAACCCTGCTTAGCACACAGCAAGTGCTCTACCGTATGAGTGGTTGCTATCTTTTACTTGTGGTTAGCCAGCCAGGACTGCCAGGACACGTCTGTGTTCGTTCCTCCTTGGGAAAGGGGTCCTCTGAGAGGGCCCAGCTCCAGGATTTGCCTCCTACGGAAAATGCTGCGTCTTGGGCTCCTTGTCTCCATTCATTCATTTATTCCCAAAGGGGCCGGGCAGTCTACAGGTTAAGACCGAAGGCTTTGGAGTCAGACATTTCTGTCCCTGCGCCCCACCCTGGTGCCCCCTCTTGGGGCACATTTGAGGCTGCTGCTGACATCCTTCTCTCCCTCTCTCTTCCCCAGTGGAGAAACCGGACTCTGCAGCAGAAGCAGGGGCAGCCACACGTCCAGGCTGGGCCGGGACCCCCACCCTCTGGGGCAGGACAAGGCCAAGGCCCCTCAGGAAGGGAGCCAGAGGTGGACCCCACCAGGAGAAACAGGTAGTGCAGGACACCCTAATGGCCCCTGGGCAGTGCTGGTGGCCTCCCTTCCCCCGCTTCCTGCCTCAGTGTTCCCCCTCCCCGCTCCCCCCACAAGAGAATGAAAATGAAACCTGCAGATGTGGACAAAGCTTTGTGCAAGAGTTATGTCCATGGCGGCATTATTTCTATTGCTTATAAAAACTTCAAAACAGCCTAAGTGCCCCACGGTGAGGGAGAAAATTATGGTTGAGCAACCATTCAATACGATGTTCATCAAGACTTTAAAAATTCCTCCCCATTCTTTTTTAAAATTTTTCGTTTCAATATCTTTATTGGCATTATTTCTAATTGTAACAGTAATGCGTGTTTGATTTGAAAAAAACACTCCCAAATAGTTGAACCTTTCCCCGCCCTTCCCCGTGTATTCCCCCTTTCTAGAAGTAGTTTCATGGGTATTTGCATGGAATTTTTAGTGACAAGGAGAAATGGTTTTGGTATGTTAGATGGGGGGGAGGCTAAAAAATGGTGTGTAAGATATTTTTCATGCACATGAAACAATACAGAAGGAAAAACAGTGAAACGTCGTACAATTCCTTAGCACTACCGAACAGCTCACTTAGAGGTGGCTAAGACAGTTAAGCTTCGTGTATTGTGTATTTTATTTTTGTGTACTGCTCAAAATGAAAATCAATAAATATTTCATCCAAAAAACATGCTGAAATAAGCATTAGGGCTTATCTCTGGAGCAGTGAAATTCAAGTTGGCTGTTTCCTCTCCATTCCCTCAACCTTCCACTACAGCAAATGATGGGTTTTGTTTCTATTTGTAAATGAAACAAGTGTGTTTAAAATAATTATTCAAATGCCATTTGTTTGAATACTTGTTTGCTGTGAGAGTCCAAATAGTATTGAAGAGAATGAAACAGGGACGCCTGGGTGGGTCAGGCGTTAAGCAGCTGCCTTTGGTTCAGGTCATGATCCCAGGGTCCTGGGATGGAGCCCCGTGTCGGGCTCCCTGCACAGCGGGAAGCCTGCTTCTCCCTCTCCCTCTGCCTGTCACTCGCCCTACTTGTGCTCACTCTCTGTCAAATAAATAAACAAAAGCTTTAAAAAAGAGAGAGAGAGAGAGAGAGAGAGAGAGAGGGAATGAAACAAAAGCAGAACCTCCCCCCAGATCACTTCGATAATCAGGGATGATACGGAGAGAATTAGGTGGGTAGGGGCGGCTGAGCGCACATTTGCACCTGCCGTGCTGGTGGCCGGGTGACCAGGTTGGGACTGTGCACTCTCCCTCAGCCTGACCCCGGGCATCGGTTTCTCTCTGGGCAACTTCACTCACAGTCCAGGGAGTCCGAGGGAGGAGGCAGGAGCCTGGCCGAAACCAGCCGGAGGCGATGGGGCAGACCAGATGCTGCAGGTCTTACAACAACTGGCTGGTGAGCTGTGGGCCCCGGGAAAGCAGGGGAGAGGGAGCGGGGCTGGCCCCGAGCACCCACACTGGGCAGGGCTGGGGCTCCTGAGCAAATGAGTGCTTACTGAGCGTCTCCTTGGACAGTTTCCCAGACACGATCTCATTGGAGCCTCACGGGACCTGGGCAAAGGTTTGTGCCCAGTTTACGGATGGGGAAGGTGAGGCCCAGAGATGGGGAACGACAGAGCCTCCTCCCGTCCTGAGCTTCCTTACTCTCTCTCTTTGCTTTACAGTCTTCCTCTTGTGGTGCCATCGGAAGGAATGGGCCAGGCAGGAGAGGGGGCTCCAGGGAGAGGCCTCCCAGGTCACACTGAGGACTCAGAGGCGGGGGAGACACCCCCAAGCCTGGTGCTCTCCTGCTGCAGACGCACCCAGGGTGGCCTCGCTGGACACTCAGCAGCGGAGAGCCTGGCTCTGCAGGTAGGGAGAAGTGGAAGAAGGTGGGAGTGGGGACCCCTTCCTTGAGGCAGAGGGATTTGGTCCTAAGCAAAGCTCGGCGCCGGCCGCCCCCCAACCCCGCTCCTGGAAGCGCGGCAGTCACAGAGGGTGCGCCAGTAAGTGTCGTGAGGGGAAGGAACGCAGATCCATAAGAGGGTTTTTCCCGTGTTAATTTTTTATGACGCGACATTTACATCTTACACAAAAGTAGAGAAAATAGGTCCTAACCCGCAGCGTCCCCATCACCCAGCTTCAAGAAAATCGCCTCCTGGGGACGCCTGGGTGGGGCAGTCGGTGGAGCGTCTGACTCCTGGTTTCGGCTCAGGTCATGATCTCAGGGTCCTGGGATGGGGCCCCGTGTCAGGCTCGGCGCTCAGCAGGGAGTCTGCTTGGGATTCTCTCACTCCCTCTCCCTCTGCCCCTCCCGCTAATGCTGTCTTTCTCTTTCTAAAATAAATAAATAAAATCTTTAAAAAAAGAGAGAGAAAAAAAGAAAATCACCTCTTGAAAACCTTGTTTCATCTGTACCCCAAATGCTCCCCCTATGTTATTTTAAAGCAGGCCCCCCACATCATACCTTTTCACCCGTAAATACTTCTGTAGCATCTCTAAAAGTTAGGGACTCTTTTCAACAGCATAACCACCGTGCCATGATCACGCTTAAAAGTGAACATTAATTCCTTAATATCAGCTGTTTTACAGGTACACATTCGGTTATAGTTTGAACCAGGATCTAAATAAAGTCCTCATGTTGAAGTTGGTCGATAAGTCGTTAAAAGTGTTTTTGAGCTCTGGGGTCCCCTCTAGTTTTTTTCTTTGCAATTTATCTGTGGAGGAAACCAGACTGCTGATCAAGTAGAGTTTCCCGGGTCTACATCCTGCTGCCTGCATCCCTCAGTGCAGTTTCTTTTCTTTAAAGATTTTATTTTTATTTATTTATTTGAGAGAGAGAGAAGGAGGGAGGGGGAGAGGGAGAGAGGGAAGCAGACTCCCCACTGAGCAGAGAGCCCCACGTGGGGCTGGATCCCAGGACCCTGGGATCATGACCTGAGTGAGCCAATGGCAGACGCTTCACCGACTGAGCCACCCAGGCGCCCCCCCAAGGGCAGTTTCCTAGGAGAGCTTTGAGCGAAGTTTGCTGAGCTCAACCATGGTTCCACGGAGATGTGAGGATGAACCCTTGGCCTGTTGAGGGAGAGCCAGCAGGAGAGCGCCGAGTGAAGGAACTGCCCAGGCAAAGGCCTGTGACAGGGGAGTGTGGGAAACTCAAAGGACACCCTGGCAGCCCAGGGTGGGTTAAATGAAGATGGAAAGGCGTGCCAGGGCCAGATCACACATGGCCTTGTAGGCGGTGCCGAGGAGTTGACATTCTGTCCCAAGCGCAAGGCGGGGGCGGGGGCAAGGGAGGGGACCGCTGGGGGTTTTCAGCAGGGGAGCCAGATGACCGCATCTGAGATTGGAAAAAGATCACTCTGGGCACTGAGCCACCGGTGCCTGGAGGGGCCCCGAGTGGATGCGGGAGGCCAGGCAGGAGGCTGCGGAGGCCATCCGGGCACCCGGCGGTGAGGGCGTGCTGGCCCGAACAGGGTCAGAGAGTGAAGTGGCTTGTCCGAGTCCTCAGCAGTGGCACGGACGACTCGTACCAGCACCTTCTCTCGGTTCCCCAGGTGCTTTGGGGCCTGGCAACAGTTTGTGCAAAGAGCCGCCCGGTCCCGGGACGGCCTGGCCCGCCGCCGGGCAGGGAGCCTGAGGTTATGTCTGCAACAGTGGGTGCGGATGAAGCAGCTCCGGGCCTCAGATGGAGCGAAGGTGACCCGGTTGTCCCTCTGCTGCCAGAAGGCGGGTGAGCGAGCAAGTGGCAGGCCGAGGGGCTCCCTTTCCCTCCCACCCCAGCAAAGAGTGTCACCTAAGCTCCTTCTGTGGTGGGCCCCAGTGGAATTGATGGCTTCTCGTGATGGGAGGTGGTAGAACGCAGAGCATTCTGGGGGGTGCGGTCTGACGGCCCGGCAGGGTTCTGGAGGGGTCCCCGGAGTGGGCAGGCCTTTGGCTGGGCCCCATCCTCACTCTAGGTCAGGAGCTTCTCTAGGCAAGAGACTTCGTTGCATCTTCCACTAGGAGGGGATATGATCCCTGCTCTTGGAAGCTCCTGGTCTGGGGGATAATACACAGCCCTTGTCCCCCACCCCCCCCAAAAAAAATCTGATAGGGGAAGATGGGCTCTTTGAGGCGACTTGGAGGGGAAGATTTGGAGGCAGTGGGAGGAGGGCAGTGCCTGGGAGGGGAGGCCCTAAGGAGGGGTGAGGCAGGCTGGGGCAGCAGCCCACACCATCCCTGATTGCCATGGGTGCCGCCAAGGGCTTTGGGTGGAAGGAGGTCACTGGGGACGCGGCTGATTCATCCTTTGACTGCTTCTCAGGGAACGTGGCCCTCTGCAGCTCAGCGCCTGGAGTGGCTACAGCCCGTGGCCTGGGGGTAGTGGCTCAGGCCCAGGGGCTGCCCCGGGAGCAAGGCGGGGGCTCCCTGCAGGAAGCCTGCCGGAGACTGGCCCTGCACCGGGCACTGCTGCTCTGGAGGATGAGGCTCTCCCAGCGCCAGAGGGCGGAGTAGGTGTCCATGAGCCTGTGACCTGGGTTTGGGCCCAGGGGGTACGTACAGGGTGGGCATGTGAGCAATGCTCAGCCCTGGGAAGTGTCCCACGGGGAATAGGCCAGGTCCTGCCCTTCCCCGAGGCTCCTGCAGGGACCATGGCGTGCTGCGGTACCCGGCAGGCAGGTGCAGGGCTGAGGGAGATGGCCCAGGGGCCTGGAGACAGTGGTTAGGCAGACAGCGAGCTGTGGGAGCCATGGGGTAGTCGGGGACACAAACACAGACCCCCTACCTACCAGGGTAGCTGGAACCTGATGGAGAGGTTGCTTGCTTCTCTCCAGGCTAGGGGGGGGAGTCCCCTAGTGGCAAGAACCGTGTCTGCCTCACCGTGGTCTGGCATGTTAGAGGCGTGATAGATAATGTAAGTGAGTAAGTGCCCGTCTGCCTCGTTATACAGCTAGAGAAACTGAGGCTCAGAGGGCCGAGCAGCTTGCTCTAAATCACACTGTGAATTAGGAGCAAGAAGATCCCTGTTACTTTTCTACAAGACAGTCATTGCTGGGACTCAGAGTCCAGGCTGATGGCTGTGGGTGAGGGGGGCGATGGGGGTCAGGAGGGGCCAGCTGTGCTGGGACCTCAAGTGGAATGTCAGCCAGCGGTTGCAGGGATAAGAATTCTGTCATCGAAAGCCCCATACTGGGGCGCCTGGGGGGCCCAGTCAGTTAAGCATCTGCCTTCGGCTCCAGTCATGATCCCGGGGTCCTGGGATGGAGTCCCATGTCGGGCTCCCTGCTCTGTGGGGAGCCTGCTGCTCCCTCTGCCCCTCACCCCCACTCGTGCTCTCTCTCTCTCAAATAAAGAAGGAAGGAAGGAAGGAAGGAAGGAAGGAAGGAAGGAAGGAAGGAAAGAAAGAAAAAGAAAGGAAGGAAGGAAGGAAGAAAGAAGAAAGAAAGCGAGCAAGCTACATGCCTAGTATCCATCATCCCACACCCACTTGGTCCACTTGGACCCTCTGTCTCTTTGAATGAAGCCCTTAGAACTCCCAGAGAAGTCAGTTCACCATGGTCCCTCAGAATGTAGCTCTCCCTCCTCCAGTCCATCCTCTAGCCTCTGGGCATCAGGGAACAGTATCTTCCTACAACAGAGCTAGGGCTGCCCTGTGATCTAAAATAAGTATTTGGATCCCACGTCTTCTGCTATATGGAGTTTGGAGAAATGACCTTCCACCAGGCCTCAGTTCCCTTATCTTTATAACCAAGCAGAGGCAGAAGTACTGATGTGACCATACATGTGGTCTCCTGAGTCTGGGGTCCTTGGGTCTGGGGCTCAGCTCCCCCTCCCATCAGGAGTGTGTCGAGGATCGCGAGGTGATGCAGGCATAGGTAGCAGTGGCCTCAGCCTTAGGTACTTGTTGAGAGTCACTCCGGGAGCTCTGGAAAAGTTAGGAAGCCCAGGCCGCACCTAGACTGCTAAGTCAGAATCTCTGGGGGTGGTACCCCAATGGGCATGAGTATGTCTCAGAGCCCCCAGTAGTCCCATATGTGGCCTGGTGTTTGGCAGGGGAGGCCCCCTTCCAGATCAGCTCTGGCAGAGACCCAGCCGGGGATAGCACCTGCTTGGCAGCCCCGTCAGCCACGGGGTGAGGCTGGAGCCCAGGAACTCACCTGCCCCTTCCTGTAGCTCCTTCCTCCGGGGCATGCGGCAGCAAATGATTCGGCGTATCCTGAGGGGGTGGCATTTGAAGGCGTGGGGTCCGAGCATCCCATCAGACAGTGCCAGGACCACCTTGGCCCCGGAGCTCCTGGGCAGCATCCCGGGAAGGGAGCCCTTGCTGGGCTGCAGCCCACCCCGAAGCTCACTAGAAAAGGTGAGGGGCAGGGGGTGGGGATGGGCTAGGGCGGGTGGGGGACAGGTGGGAGGAAACTGTGGGGCAGGGCAGGGGCCCAGGGATCCAGGACTCCATCCCTGCTTCCCCAGGCTTCCAGGGCCCCTGCCCTCTTGGAGACCCTCCGGCTGAGCTTTTTGTGGGCCTCTGAGCAGCGGCAGAAGGCACGGTGCCTGCTGCTCTGGCAGGTGCAGGCCCAGCAGTCCCGGGGTGCAGCGAGGTGGCACCGGTGTACTCTTCAGAGGCGGTAGGGACCCCTCCCCATGGCGGGTGAGCCATGCCACCCGCCGCTCTGTGGACATCCTGTTCCCAGTTCCCTTCCCATTATTCCTTGACCTTCACAGCAGCATCCCTTTGGGGTCTGCCTCCCAGAGGGCTCCCATCTCACGCTCCCATCTGTTAGTACCCAGACCCGGGTCCTCTGGACTTCTCCTGCCCTCCTAGCCTGCCAGTCATGTCTCCCAGAGACTTCATAGCTGTGGCTCATTCATCTATTCATCTGCAGCACAATCTCAAGCGTCGGTCTGCCTGGGTTCTAATCCCAGGTTTGCCCCTCGCTAGCTGCGTGTTCTTGGGCAAGTTGCTTAACCTCTCTGTGTCTCCTCCGTCTCTCATTTGTATGGGGATGCTAACAGTAGTCACTCCGATGGGCATCAACAAGGTAGGGGCACGCAATCCCCTAGCCCAGTACCTGGCACGTAGTAAGCACTCGGTTCATGGCAATGTTTATCACTGGTGGCTGAGCTCAGGACTTGGTTGGGGTCCGAGGTCCCATCTTATCCCTAACCTGTCACTGTGACACTCGGAGTAGCATCTGAGCAGTCCAGCCCCCCCAGCAAGCCACACTCCCCCCCTGAGGGAAATAGGGAGAAGAATCCCCTCGAGCTCCTAGGGGAGCCCGGGGTGGCACTGACCATCCTCAGGGTGGACGCTCCCCCTCCTAGCATCCTCCTCGGCTGGAGCCACTGGGCCACGGCCCGAGGGGCCCGGAGAGAGCTGGCTGTTGGCTGGGCCTGGGACCGGAGCTGCAGAGCCGCGCTGGGCTTGTGGCGGAGGCGGCTGGTGCAGGGGCGAGAGGTGGAGCAGTGGGTTCGGGCGCGGGGCCGCATGCTGGTTCGACGCGCCCTGCACTGCTGGCATTCCTCCTGGCAGAGTGAGTCGGGGCCTGGCTCCGGGTCACTGAAGGGGAGGGAAAGGCCGGGTCCATCAGGGAGACCCAGGGTTTTGTGCCTTCCAGCACAGAGTCCAGTGATGGGACCCCCCCACAGGGCACACCCAGGACAGGGAGGGGGCAGAGCAGAACCCAGGGGCCTGGACATTGCCCATCCGTTCCCCGGCTATGTGGACCTTACACAAGCTACATAACCTCTCTGAGCCTCAGCTCACTCATCTGTAAAATGGGGATCACAGCAGTACCCTCCTCATAGGGTGATTGTGGGGAGTCTCTGAGACCAACCACGCAGTGTTGGCTCAGAACCCAGCTCCTAGTAGGTGTTACTGTCATCATCATCATCTTTGTCTTCATCGTCATCATCATTATCCTCACCTGGCCTTCAGGAGTCATGGGCCTGAGCACTGAGTCATGGTGCCCTCAGAGCCCAGCATAGGAGGTGGGGATCACTGGGGGCCGTTTTCGAGGCTTGCCACTATACTAACACATCGTATCAATGAGCTGGCGGGTGGGGACCTGGTCGTTCTGGAAAGTTCATGTCCTGTCCACTGGGGACAGCTGCTTCTCCAGCCCAGTCGCTGACCAGTTATGCTGACCCAGGGTTGCCAGATCTCGTTTTCAAAGAAAAGCTGGAAATCTAGATTTTTACATGAATTCTCCTGATTCCTAAACATTTCCAAGAAATGAAAAACAATGAGCTGGGTTGGCCTGGTCATTGCAGGACACTTGTAACCGAAGCATTTAAACCCCGGGGGCCTCCTCTGCCCCTGCTTGGGTCGAGTGCAAAGGGCTGGCTGAGGAGGGGCCCACAGTTACCCAGGGCTGAGGGGCAAGGCTGGGATGAACGCCCGGGGGCATCTCAGCATCTCTCTGGCCACAGGGCAGCAGTTCCTGCATGCAAAGTATCAGAGGTGGGTGCAGGTCCATCTCCGGGGCTTGAGGAGGTCCGTGTTCCAGAACTGGCGGCAGGCAGCAGCTGGTCGGAGACACCCAGTGGACCCCCCAGAGCAGCTTCTACTGCACAGGTGGGTGGGCCCAGGGGTAGGAGGGTGAGGGTCATCTCCACTCTGGAAAAAGCAGAGAGACAACCCAGGGGACCTAACGAGGGAGCCATAGAGACATGACCACCGACCTTCCTTTACTTGCTTTGTTCGAGGGGTGCCCACCTGATGCCCTGATGAGCCCCAGGTCTCCAGCTCTTGGCCAGGTCAGTCCTTTGGTTTGAGAGGACACGGGAAAGATGGGGGAAGTCCACGCCTCAAACATCCACCATAACGTGTGTTCCAGTGTCTTGCCCATGTCTTGTTTGAGCACAGGCAAGTCCTACTCCATACAGTTGCCAAAAGAGTGAGCTCTTCACCTAAATAGAGACGTTCTAGTAAAATGTATATAGCTCATTCGTGCATTGTTAAAAACAGCGGGGACAGATGATGCTTCCTCCCACCGTTCAGCTATAAATTTGCAGATGTTCACGGTGTCCCCGCATGGGCAGCCAGCCATTGACGGCGGAGTAGCAGATACTGAACAGATACAGCTGGACAGTGGGCATGGTTTTTTTTTGGCCCTTCCTGGAGTGGGCACTGTGCTCCCCTCACCAGCCTCCTGCCCCCGAGTGGGCTTGTGAGGGGAGACCAGAACTGGCTGCCCCCGTCCCCCCCCCCCCGGTGGCACTGGCACTTGACCCCACACCTGCTATGTTCCCATGACCTCCTGGGAGCACCTGCCCTCCTGAGTCTGTCTGCTCGTGCGGAAGCCCTGAACCAAAGCCGGCACTTTGACCCATTACACATCGGTTCCTACATTCTGAAGGCACAGGGTTGTGTATGCAAAGCCACATATAACCTAGGACACTTTGAGGGGGCATCTGCAGGTGCGATTTGGAATAAATGGGATTTTTGACGCTGAAAGCCAGCTGGGCCTCTCCTCTGCTCCTGTTTTTCAGCCACTTCCAGGCCTGGTGTGGAGTTGAGAGAGATACAGGGGTGGTCCCAGCCACGGGAGCCTCTCAGGATGGCCCGAGAAAGGCCGTGGGGGCCACAATTGCCACGTGGCAGGATGCCCGAGCAGCCAAGGCCTGGGCACGGAAGCGGCGTGTGGCCCGGGCCTCCGTGGGCCGCTGGAGAAGCCACGTGCAGGGGGGCCAGGCAGACAGGCAGCTGAGCAGGACCCGGGCCCAGCAGGCCTTCGTAGCATGGCAAGCAGCTCTGGGCCAGCGCCACAAGGCCCGCCACCTGGCAGAAGGCAGAGTGGCCCTGTGCCGGACACAGCGGGTGCGTGAGTCCCGCCTACACCGGGTCAGCCGAGCCCATGCTGCCCAGAAGCTGAGCGCCAGGTGGGTGCCCATGGCCAGAGGGCAGCCCCACACGGTGCTTCCAGCTCAGTCTGTTTCTGAGGCCTTGAGCTTGTTGTTGGCAGAGGTAGAGGGTATTTGGTGGCTGGCGACAGGGCTCAGGAGGCTGGGGTCAGAGGGAGAGGCGATCCCAGCCACTGCAGCTCGTCCTGGGGTCCAAGTCCAGACCTGCACTTTCCAGCAGTGCAACCCCTCTCTGAGCAAGTCTTTGAAGGTCAAAGGAAAATAACAGGCCTGCCTTAGAGAGAGAATGCAGGCAAGCACTCAGCTCAGGGGTCAGAAACACAGCAGGTGCTCATTAAACAGTGCTCTTGTGAGAGAGGGCGAGGCAAAGTGTAGCAGCAGGACTGCCTGCTCTTTGTCGCCTCAACAAGATGCTTGTCCCTGGTGTGTGATGTTCTGCTGCTCTCTGTTTTAACCAGATTTCCCCAGAAGAGGGATGAGGGGAGGAGCACCAGTGTGGGCTTAGCCCGGAGGTCCCCGCCCAGCAGGGCACTGGCGAGGGCTGGGAAGGGCCCCCTAAAGCCCACCACACATGTGGGCTCCTCTCTCTCCCAGGGTCCTAGAGGCCTGGGCCCAGTCAACAACCAGGGGCCGTGTCCAGCGAGCCGCCGTCACCCAGTTCCAGCAGGCTGGGTCCAGACGCCTCCTGTGGACCCACTGGGCCCAGTGGCAGGCAGCACTGCTCAGTATGCGGTTGGAACCACAGGCGGAGGCCCAGGAGGCCCGTGCAGTTGACCTCAGGCAGTGGCCTAGGGTGGCCAACAGAGGGCGCCTCCTAGCGCTGACCGACACTCCAGCCCCATGGAAGCAGGTGAGACAGCCTAGGCAGGGTGGGAGGTCCAAAAATGACCTGAGGGCCAGTGCCTCAGAATCAGCTTGCTTCAGCCTGTGGTGGCAAGCGTGGCTGGACGCTTATCCGGGGGACCCAGTGGCCTTATGGACACTACCCCTACTAGGTTCTAGAACAGCCTCCTGGCTCTGGAAGACTACCATCTTTGGGTCCATCAGCAAACATTTACTGAGCACCTACTGAGTGCCAGCCCAGCACAGGTCCTCCACAAAGACAAATACCGTGGTCACAGTCTATTAGGGAGACAGACACCTGAACTCATATGTACCCTGGTGCAGCCGAGAGTCAGGTACATGCGGATAGGAACAACTGTTCGCCAAGTCCCTTTTAGTCCTTACTGGAAAAATTAAACACACTCACTACACGAAAATCAGGAAGTACAAAGGAAATGTTGCTTTCATAACTCCCTCCACCCAAAGACAACCACCAGTTTCTCTCCGAACCAGAAGCAGTTAGTTCTGGGGTGCCTGACTGGCTCAGTCAGTGGAACACGTGACTCTCGATCTCAGGGTTGTGAGTTCGAGCTCCATGTTGAGTGTGAAGACTACTAAAAATAAAACTTTTAAAAGGGAAAAAAAAAAAGAAACAGTTCTGACACCCTCAAATGGTGACAACAGCTTAATGGCAAACAGGACTGAAGAAGCCACAATGAAAGGCAGGCACAAGAAGGGACACCGCATTGCAGTCTAGGGACATGTCATTGGAAGACACACAGCTGCAGAGTTACTGGCAGTCCACACAGTGTTCCTAAAGATGAACTGGAATCATCTAGAATCCTGTTTCAGAAGGCCCGGAAGCATGTAATAGATTCTAGAAAGGTTCTTAGAAAAAAGATGTAAAAAAATTTTTTTTAAAGATTCCATTTAGAGGGAGAGCACACGCATGTGAGTGCAAGCAGGGGCAGGGGCAGAGGGAGAGAGGATCTCAAGCAGACCCCGCCCTGAGCACGGAGCTCGATGCAGGGCTCCATCTCACGCCCCTCAGATCCTGACCTGAGCCCAAATCGGGTTGGACATTTAACTGACGGAGCCACCCAAGCACCCCTACTTTTTTAAAACGGAATTGAAAGGGCCTAACTTTGGTTATTTACAGAATCCACGTATTCACACATGGGGGCTATGGCAACAGATTCTGGGGGCTCAGTATTTTATTTCTAGATCTGTGTCACAATTTTATTTTCAGTCTGTTTAAAAATACAAATACTCCATTCTTATCAGCAAAGGCAGGCGGGATCCCATGTGCTGACGGGAGAAACAGAGGCATACCGAAACCAAAAGTAAATGCCGGGAAGGATAGCTAGGGTACTTGGCTCCAGGCCCCCCCCCCCCCACTTTCTACCGCATGCACACACGCACCCAGGCGGCCCTCACCGAGCCACACAAGCTGCTATTATGCCTCCTGGGGGCAGAGAAGTCCTTCGAGAGCCCCTGGTCCGTGGGAGAGCAGTGGCTGGGCTTGGGCTCTGGAGTCAGATAGCTCCTGAGACAAGGGGCCTCAGGCAGGCAATCTCACTTTGTAAAGCCCAGGTGGGGAGAGGCCTCCTCACAGGCTGCACGGGCACGGGTGAGCTCGCATCAGGTGTGGACCAGGTCCGCCCCTCTGCTTGAGTCTCCAACCACGCTGGGAGGATGGGGCAAGAGGCAGTGGTGTGTGCCCATGGCCCTACTCCTCCCAGGCACCTTCCCTGCCTCCTCTGGGAGCCTCGGGGCCACACAAGAGGTGGCGGCCCTGCTTCTGGTCAGGGGCAGGACACGAAGAATCCTGCCAGGTTGCCTGGGATGCAGGGGGTCCAGGCCCATGGGGTTCAGGTTTTCCTCTCTGGCTGTTCCCTCAGACCCACGGCTTCGGGACACTGCCCAGCCCAAGCCAGCACCACTGCCACAGCGGACATAGGAAGCAGACAGAAATGTCCTGGGCTCAGAGTAAGGAGACCTGCCCCTGGGGCCAGACATCTCACAAGCCTGGAAATGCTTTTTATGTACAGATTTTGTTAACCTCTTCTCCCAGGCAGCAAAGAGCCCCCTCTCTGCGGTGCCTTCCAGCGCCAGTGGCAACGGCCTGGATGCGCCGGCCAGACTCAAGGCTGGCCCCCTACAAGACCAGGTGGGGACGGCAGCTCTGAGGCCGGAGCCCTCAAAAGTCAAAGCAAGGCCGCTAGACAGCTGGGGTAAGAGCAGCTGCACCTGCGGGAGTGAGTGGGGTGGGCGGGGCTCGGGGGCAGGATCTGGGGGCTGGGTTGAGCCGGGGCAGGGGCCGGACCCTCTCGAGCCAGTGCTCGTTCCTGGAGGATCCAGGGGGGTCCGTGGCTCTGCCTTTCTTCCCGGTCATGAAGGGCTCCTGATGCTCTTGGCTTCCGGGGTGCACGCCAGGGCCTCTCCCCACCAGGAGGAAGTACCTGCAGCGCTGGCACTGTGAGGCACCAATTTGCCGGCTGCGGGGCCCCCAGCGGGCCAGGCAGCTGGCCGCACCGGGGCAGCACCGGGTAGATGCTCAGGGCGCCAAGCAGCTGGCACGGACGCTGGTGAGTGCGGGCACCCCCCCCCCAGCCTCAAGCTGATCTCGCAGCTCACCTCGTCCCCGACCCTAACCGCTAGAAATGACATTTCTCAAAACATCTTGGTCTCTGTATGGATCAAGTCTGAAAGCTTGGGGTCAGGTGCAAGGATCTGCATTAACGCACCTTAAGGGACACCCCCCGCCCAGCCCGTCACAGCCCCTTCCTCCTGGTGCTGCAAAGCCGTAGAGGAAAGACACAGCAGAGGGGCTGGGGGGCAGCAGCGGCCTGGCCGGGGGCCTCTCACTTCCCACCCCCACAGCTGAGGCAGTGGCACCTGAAGTGGGCCTGGCGTGTGTGGCGGCAGCGGGCCCTGCGGCTATGGGTGGCTCAGCGATTACAGCAGCAAGAAGGTGGCCGGGTCCTTTCCCAGGTACCGGGGGGGGGGGTGGCCCCCACCTCCCAGCAGCTCTTCGGAGCTGGGGCCCCTCCATTTTCAGGGGCAGAGTCAGTTCCATTAGAGAAGACACAGCTTGGGTCCCGATTTAGCTGGCGATCATGCGCTCGGCCAGTCCTACCCAGCCACTTGGTGTAGGAACGAGGCTTGGCCACAGCATGGCTGCCACTCACACTAGCCCATGTTGGGTATAGGTCCCTAAGTGCCCCCTCCCTTATCCGCCCCACTCTGAGCATAGGTTCCCAGACCGTAAGTCAGATCTGTTCTGAGCCTGTGCATTAGGCCTGGGGCAGAGCTGGCTAGCGGGCTGGCGGGCTGGCCTGGCTGGGGTGGAGCGGGGGGTGGTGCCGTCTCCTATTCCCTCTGGGGAGAGAAGGAACAGGGCACAGGTGTTAGCCTAGCACAAACAGCAGACCCAGGAGGGAGCCAAATAGCCTTTCCTTCCTCCTCCCCAATTCCAGGCCTTTGAGAAGTGGCGCCAGCACCTGGCAGCCAGGGGCCGGAAGAGAGGAGCCACCAGCAGCTTGATACCTGAGCCAGGTGGGCATCAGGAACCCTGGGAGCAGGCTGGAAGCTGCTCGAGCCCGTGTGGTAGACTTGAGGCGGAGCAGGGGACCCAGCTGCAGCTGTGACTTGTTCCCATGGAAAGAAAAACAACACTGAGCCCAGCCTCCCTAAGGAAGGAACCATGCTTCACCCATCAGGGGAGTGCAGCCTGGTCACAGAGGGGCCAGTTCTCTGAGCTCTGAAGGACAATAAAACACGGTCCTTAGTCCTTGCTGCTTCTCTTGCTCAGTGTCTCCTAAGGCCCGCCCCTCTGCCTCGGTCAGCCACCCTGAGAAGGAAGCCAAGAGGGTACACCCGTGACTGTGCCCACCTCTTCTGCCATCAGGCTGCTCTTTGGGCACCTACCCCCACTCTCCTCCTGCTGAGCCAGCGAGGACCAGCTGACAGGGGCCGGGACCAGGACAGGGAATGGCTTCTAGGTATCTAGCAGTCACTGGCCACTGGCAGTGGGGCTCGAGGGCTGACTCCTGGGGAGCGGTGCCAGGCAGACCGCTTCGGGAACAGGCCGAGCAGACGGGAGGAGGTAGCTGGCACTAAGAGGTCCCATCTAAAAAACTAAGCCAGGAAGAAATCAGTCCTGCTCAGTTGAGCCTCAGCTTTGCCCTTGACAGTAATAGGCAGGATATCCGTCCATGGCCAGGCGGGAAAAAGGGCAGGCCAAGGGCTTCACCAAGTACAAGGGTTCAGATGCCTTTAACCTCTACAAGGCACTTTCCCTCTTGAACCACCAGAATACGGAAAAGCAGCACAGTAGAAAAGTGAAAGTCCAGCTGGCTCTCAGGCAGACAGGGGCAAGAAATGCTTGCCTTACCGGGTTTCAGGCCAAGGCCTGTCCGGAGGCCTGGCGTGCGGCCTGCCAAGCAGGTGGACAGGGCAAGGGTCTGCCCCTCCAGCCACAAGCAGGACCACCTCTGAGATGAGCGGGGGGGGGGGGGGGCTCTGCTTGGCTGGTCTCTTGGGCAGTGCCGCAAGTGCCTACCACCCGGGTTCACTTTGCTGTCCCCGCAGGTCCGAAGTGCAAGGTCCCAGGAACTGCCCTGGTTCAGGGGCTCAGTCAGCAACAAACACCCCCTCTTCTTCTCAGGGAGGATGTTGTTCCACCCACCAGGTCCTCTGCGGAGGGAGGTGTTCCTCATACAGAGCACAGACTCTAGGCCGAGCAAGGAAGACCAGGCTCCCTCGCGGAGCTGGCTCCAGTCCAGCCAGAGCCTGGAAGCCTCACACCAGTCCAGCTGCCATCACATGAGGAGTGGCAGCTGGGACTTGGGGAGAAATGAAAGAGAGGAGGGGTCCCCAGGAAAACCAGGACTGGGGAGGAGGAAGGCAGGACACCAGTGGGCTCAAGCCAAGGACACGATGGTGCAGGATCATAGAGCCTCTTCCCCTTGCTCCGGCGTGGGCCTGTTGAGAAGTTCAAACGTGTCTTCCACCACCTGCCACAGGCAGTTGTCCAGAGGAAACTCATTGTCCACCAAGTTGACCAGGAAATAGTTGTCATGGATGTACTGGATGATCATGCGGGACGGAGACTCCTCCTCATACAGCTTGCCCCACTGCTCGATCCACAGGGCGAAGGCTTCGTCCTGCACCCACACACACACAGGCAGGCAAGGTGAACAGAGCTGCCCCTGGGTCAGGGCTCCATGCTGAGCACCCCCAGGGCTTCTAAGCTGCTCAACAGAACATTTCCAGAAATAGAACAAGGCCCACTGCCAAAGTCGCCTCCCATCCCCCAGCCCAGAAATCAACACCCTGAGTCAGAGTCAGAGCACAGCCCAGAAGGCAGCGCGCCCCCCCAGCCCTGGGGGCGTGGCCCCAATGACACCGCCTGCCTAAGGTTTGCAGGGTGCGCAGGGCAGACCCGCTCCTGGGCTCCTGGGCCCCTCACCTTCCAGAACATGAAGCTGACAGGATCGACCACTGTAGGCTGGATGATCTCTCGCCCAGGGAAGATGCCCCAAGTGACTGCGTTGGGCTGCAGCTCAGGGGCATTGGTGATGTTTTCACCCTGAGGGCAGATGGGTGGGAGGGAGGGGTCAGAGCAGACCCGGGCCTAGACACTGCAGTCCTTTTCTTGCCTGGGAACTCACAGGGGAGGGGGTGGGGGGTGGAGCAGGCTTTGCTCCATCCCCTCCACCCGCCCCTCCGAGCCCAGCAGCTCCTTGAAGGCCAGGGGCTGGGTACTTCCTTCCTCCCCCCTGTGCTCCAAGCTCCACATCCCCCACATCACAGCCCCCAAATCCGGTGGCTCCTGCTGACTCCTGCAGGGTCACTCTATGGATCTGTGGACCTGTTGCCGTGTCTGCCCAGCCAGGCCGCTCTTTGCTACTCAGATTGCCACAGGGGCTCTGATTCTAGTCTCCCTGGTCCCATTATCCACACCCCTGTCCACCGTGACCTGTCTATGACAAAACATGGAGCCAAGCCATTGCTGCGCAGAAAGGCTCCCTCTCGCCTCCAGGGGAAAACCAAATTCCCAGCAGGCCAGTCAGTACTTCTAGCCTTGCTCTGAACCCACTGAGCAGTCCCTGAAGGCCGTGCAGACAATACGCCTTTGCACAACCTTCTCCCTCTCCCTGTGAAGCCTTCCCTTTGTCCTCAAAGATTCCAACCGCATAGGACCCCTCCAAGCCTTCCCTAACCTCTCAGATTAGACATCCCTCTCCTAGGTCCCCAGCATCCTATACTGAACCTTACTGTTAAATGTGCAACCAGATGTGTGATTACCCATGGACTGGGCCCCTCCCTAGACCGGGGGCCCTCTGAGCTGAGGGCAGGGGCCTGGCTCTGGGTATACGTTTCCACCATGCCTGGCCCGGGCTAGGTGCTCAGCGCTCGCCGAGGGGAGGGGTAAACACAGTGCCTTCAGTCCCGGGACCCTGGGCCTGCTGAGCAGTGTAAAGCCCGGGAGCCGGCCCACCTTGACGTCCACGATGTGGTAATTAACCCGGAGCTCATACTTCTTCAGCACCTGCAGAAGCGCCCCCACCGTCTCTCGGGAAGTGAAGAACTCCAAGTAGGCCTGTGAGAGCAGACATGTGTGGCAGGACTTGAGACACTGGGGCTAGTGTGGCCACGTGGATCGAATCGTGAACTGAGAGCGGGCGAATGCAAGCAAGGGGGAGGGGAGCAGGCATGTGGGATTTCTTGGTCTGGACAGGTCTGAGGGGCACCTGCCACCCTTCTCCCAACCAGGGAAGGCCCCATGGAAGGCCACTTCAGAAGCCGGATGGGAGGCCCCGTTTGGTAAGCTGAGACACGGGAGCGAGGCCTGACACATCCCGGCCTCCCCACTCACTGGAGGCTAACACGGACACCGAGGGCTTCTCGAGTGCCAACTGCCTGTCAGGGATGAGGCCGGGTTCATAGCCTGAAGGGGGAGCACTATTACCCCCATCTCACAGATGAGGACACTAAGTCCGGAGAAGTTGAGCAACCTGGCTGCGCTGAAGGTAAACAGCAGAGCTGGGACTCAAACCCAGGTCTCTCAAACTCCAGAGTGCCCGGGCTACAGTTCTAGAATGTCACTTTAACTAGAGCAGCCCTGGGAGAAAGGTGTCAACTCGGGACACCAATTACAGTTCCATTTAGTGAATGCTTCCTATGTTCTTCCCACGTGCCAAGCATTTTGGCCCCAGAACATGATGGGATCTATCCCCATTTTACAGAAAAGACAGCTGAGGCTCAGAGCAGTCAAGGAACCTGCATACCCAGGTCTGTCTAAAAACGTGAGCTCCTGTCCACTCTGATCCTCTGCCCCTCACCATAAACAGACCCCGGGGAGGGAGGCTTCTCTGTCCCCATCTCTGGGGAACCTCTGGGGGCCGGCCAAGGTGGAACAGCCCTGTATGTCCCTGCCGCACCTTCTGGAAGACATAGCCCCCACTGGGGCCCCAGCCCACAACGGGGTCGGAGGATGGTTTCCCGTTGATGTTGGGCTGAGAGTTGATGGTGAGGATGCCCTGCCGGTTCACTCGCAGCAGCTCCTCCTTCATCAGGCTGGTCTCGGCAGCCAGGGGCTCGTCATTCCAAGGTAGGCAAGTCACCTGGGGGAGAGGGTGAGCCGGGCTGGGGCCACGATCACACCAGACACCCTGGGCTCCCGCCCTCTCGCGGGCTCCACCTGTGCGTCTGTCAGCCCTTCTAGGCACCCCAGGTGGGGACTTCCCAACTCACCCTCCCTTTTGCTGAGGTGCCACATTCAGACAAAGAGAGGGGAGGCTTGAGTGGGGCGGGGGCAGTGTGAGTCACGGCCCCGAGGTGTGGCCCACAGGGAGACAGGGCGGGGGATATAACCAGGGATCCCACCCCAGCATTACTCACCTTGTGACCATGTTGGTTGGGCTCTCCTGAGAGGTAGCGGGCAAAGACTTCAAAGACACTTTCTTCACTGGTCAGCTCCTCCCCCCACATCTTCAGCAGCTCTTCCCTTGGGGACTTACTCTTCAGGTAGAAGAGGTAGTAGTCTTTCAGCTCCCCGAAGGCTGGAGAGGAGGAATTGCCCCTGGCAGAGGAGGTGCCCAGAGGGCAAGGCACACTCCTGACCTGGGGCTCCTGACGGAGGGACAGTTGCACCCACCCGCCCAGGGGACATTCCTGTGAATCCTGTCCCACCCCACTCCCCAAGAAGCAGGCCAATAAGCAGGCAAATTCCCTCTGCCTCCCTCCCAAGAAACAGGATACACTTGCAGTGGGTTGCCTGCAGCGGCTCACCAGCGGCCGTTGGGGAACTCATCCCACTCCTGCGTGCGGTAGATGTAACTCTTTGGTCTGGAGGCCCAGAAGATGGGACGTACATCTTCCTCCCGGCGCTTGGGGTGGGCACTGACAGCCCAGGGCAGGGGACGCCTGGGTGAGAATGGAGACAGAATGAGTAAGGGATTGGCTAGAGGAAGCAGGAAGGGCGAGGGGAGGGGAGGTGGGGACACCACTCAGCCTGACCTCTCTGATCTGACTGTGCATGGAGTTCCCTCTGAGACAGAGCCCTAAGTGTACGGCTGGCCATGGCAGACATCCCTCTGTACCGCCGTGGTGGCTAGCACTGCTAGGGCATGCTCATTCTGTGACCTCTCTCTGACTTTTCTGCCCATCTGACTTTCCTCTGTGCCTCCCACACCCAAATTCAGGGCCAGTGGCTTCACCTGGGGTCCTCAATCCACATGCCCAGACGCTTCAGCACCTCTGTGGTGGCCATCTCACGGTTGAGGGTATAGAAGTGGAGGCCTGGCACCAAGCCACTGGTCAGAAGTTCCTGGCACAGGCTCACGGCCTGCTCAATGCCATAGTTTCGGATGGCAGCATCATTGTCTTTGATTGGCTCAATCACGTCCTTGATTTGCTGCGGTACCTCCAGCTTGGACAGTTTCACGAGCTGCCGAAGGGAGTGGTAGCCCTGTACGAGACACAAGGGGCTGTGGGGTGCCATCTCCCAGCCCGACTCTCGCCTGAGATACTTACCGCCCTTTCCGTCCCCACCAGGCCTCCCGGCCAACTGCAGTGTGACACCGAGTGACTCAGGAAAGCCAGTCCGGATCGTAGGAGCACCCCCACCTTGTCCCGCTTCTTCCACCCAGTACCGCAGCTGCCTACAGCACTCCCACCCTCGGGCCGAGCTAGCCCTCCGCCCCTACGTGTATTTACTGAGAACCCAGGGGGCCACAAGGCCAGTGGCTCCCAAGCTGCACTGATCATCAGCACCACCTGTAAAATTTAGTAAGTAATATCCAAGTTCCCAGGCCCCACCTCAGACCTATTAAATCAGAACCTCCAGACAGGGGATCTGAAAATCTATCTTTCAAAAAAGTTTTTCAAATGATTTTGAGGACAGTCAAGTTTGGAAAGCATTGATTTTACCAAGACTTACAATGAGAGTTATAATCCCTTTTAGAGACACTTATCGGCAGCCCCTCCAACAGACACTATTGCTGTTTCGGAGGCGGGGGGGTGGATTAGAGGTGACCAAAGCGGGGTGGCATGTTGCAAGGACTGGAACATCTGCCTGAAGGGAAGTCTACTGAGCATCAGAGATTGGCATTTCACCCCAGGGCCCTGGCCTGTGCTAGGGGGCGGATGGAGGGAGTCCACGGCCCTCCTGGGACCCTCACCTGAATAGGAAAGATTCCGGGGAGGATGGGGCAGGTAACGCCTATCTCGCTGCAAGCCTTAACAAAGTGGAAGAATGTGTCAGCCTCAAAGAAAAGCTGGGTGATGATGAAGTCGGCTCCTGCGGATACCTTCTCCTTCAAGTACTTCAGGTCAGCCTCAAAGCTCCCTGCGTCGGGGTGGCCTTTGGGGTAACCTGCCGACAGGGATGACAGTAGGCTGGCTCCCACGTGCTCAAGGTGAGTGAGGAAGAGACCAGAAAGCTGGGAGCAGAGAGCTCTCTGTCTCGGAGGTTCTGGGCTTGTCCCTTGCAATACCGCAGCACAGACAGGCCAAGACAGTGAGTGGCTGCGCTTCTCGCTCTGGACATGACCCTTGGTGAGAGGTGGCCTAGGGCCACCTGCCCAAGAGTTGGGGGGATGGCACCAAACTCCCATGCCATCCTGCCTCAGGTCCACGGCAAGCAGCCGGGCAAATCCGGCCAGCACACTATGGCCACAGAAAAGAGAAAATGTCGCCTTCAGCACGGGTCTGGCAGCACCTGGGCTCCTGGGCTGGAGTCTGGGCACTGGATTCAAACCCGTACTTTTAACTTAACATGAAAATTACTCAGGGATCCAAGAGAGTGGACGTTAGAAACCATGTTACCCAGGGAAGAACTGAAGAAAGTGGGGATGTTTCAGGGGAGAATGAAGAGAACACTGGAACTACTTCCAAAAGCCCAAAGGTCTGTCGTAGGGAAAACTGTCAAGTTCCTTACCAGTCCTAGTCTGTGTTGCTTCTGACGACAGAACCAGGATCGGTCCCAGAGAGCTGCCTAACACTGGGGGAACGAGCGGCCCCACCAAGTAACAAGCTCCTGGAGACCTCGAGCCGGGGAGGCCGAGGGATTCCAGAACTGCCTGGGAGGCAGGACCACACGTCACGTGCGCTCCTTACTAGCTCGAGTAAGTAACCCTATGACTGCTTCCTTCCCCGAGCGACTGAAATCGCAGGCAGCCACGTTTGGTGTTTGCAAAGGACGACTGTAGGCCTTCAGGAAGCTATAGGAGAGCGCTAGCTTCCTGAGCCTAAGCCCGGGGCAGGACGCTGAGACGGGCTGCTGGGGACCCAAGGTGCTTTGCTGTGATAAGGCCCTTCTGTTCTGAGAAACCCCAAGTCATCAAAAATGAATATAAAAACTCTTGTCTCAGGGGGCAAAGGGGTAGGACTGAGCACCACGATTTCACTTTCAATAACAAAGCTATTTTTCCAGCAGGAATTTCAAAAACAAGGTTTTAATAGCTGAAACTATAGCTCTAAAACCTCAATATCACCAAACACATGTAGCATTTGCTTACATTTAGATTTTGCCCCGTTTACTATGTTTCCTGTCACAGCCAACGTGTTTCTCAACCCCAATCGTCCTGCTCATCCACTTTATGACAGGCAAAACCCCAGAGCCCTCAGCACCTACAAGCTCACAGCTTAGCCAGTCTCCGTGCACAACCACCTAAGGCCTACTGCACGCGTGCACGTTCCCCAATTTACTGACCAAATGGTGGCCCGTGTAAGCAGTGAATGCTTGAACGGGGGGAAATGCTCACTATGTTCCTAACTCATCAGGGCCTCCCAGACTCACCTAAATGCCCCCGTTGGCTGTGAAGAGTGGATATGCACGTGGGGGCCTGGGACTAAGTTCAAAGCCACCGGCAACAACTAACTTCCTTGAGGCCACATGGGTTAGATTTTAAAATTCACGTCACTTTGATATGCTACTCCAGAGCGTAGCCGTGTTTGTTTTAATATAAAAATTAATGTAAAAATGATAGGATTCTCCCCAAGAAAATTTTGAGAAAAACTGTCATGCCGAGATGGTGTGTCAAGTTAATCCCTGGACTTCTTGCATCCCTGGCACATGCTGCCTCACCATACCTAAGCCCCGGCTCAAGAAGCTGAGGCCCAATCCCAGCGAGTGGGGGTAAAAGGGAAGGCCACTTCATCATGCATTTCGAGCAGGTGAACCTTGCCTCTTGGCTGTAGCCCATGGAACTGGAGCTGAGCCAATCCAATGCTCTCTTCTGAGAATTTGGACTGACTCATACCTGTCAGTCCGTCTGGACTATTGATTGGAAGTGGCCATGTCACTCAGGAGCAGGCGGCTGGTCATGTGTGTGCAAAAGTGTACATATCAGGAATACTGGAAGCGTGCAGCACGTGTGCAGTGGGAGGCAGAGATGCGGGGGGAACTCTGTGGCTCCAGACAGGAGGGAGGCCTTAGTGTCTCACTGCTTCTGGGTCCAGGGCCTCATGAGGTCAAGTACCATTTTCCGACAGGGGTTCTGAAATCCCCTGGCCTCCCACCCCCAGTCTTAACAAACATCCCTTTTTTGTTTTAAGAAGAATAGGGCTGGGAAGCAAGCTAAGAGCACAGAAAGGCAGAGGGATAAAAACTTAAGGGCTGGCGGCAGCCTGGCAGGGGCGGATGACAGAATGAGAGCAAGGGCATTGTGTGATGCGTCTCTGAGCCGCCTGCCCCTGGCACAGGCGCAGGCCCGTGGCGCCCTGGGTCACCGGGTCCCTAACTGAATGCCAGCGGGCCTTCTGTGCCTCTCGGGGCGTGTCACGCCTTCCCTTCCCTGTCCCCCGAGAAGGCCCAGCCACTCACCTGCCACACAGATGTCAAAGTAGTCCCCGAACTCACTTCGGATGTGCCTCACCAAGTCCGCGGCATAGCTGAAGCCTCCCTCCTCCTCTTCCCACTGGTCACCCACGGGGTCTGCAAGGGTGACAGAGGCCACGGTCACTGGGTCTCACCCACACTCCAGACGGCCTTTGTGTTCCTTCTTCCTACCCCACACCCGGGGCAGCGGGCTCCTCTCCAAGTGTGTGTCTGCTCCTCCCAGAGTGGCACTTGGCAAATGGCGGCCGGGAAGACAGCAGCCACCCTGTCAAGCACATACCAAGCCCCGACTCCGCGGGCAGTGTGCTGGCCACGCTAAGCAGGGGACAGCTGCTGCTCTGGGGTTAGCCTGGAGCATCTGAGACCCCTTCCCTACCCAGATCTGGGGTGCTCAGGCACCCTCACCCAACCCCACTGCTCACTCTCCCACCCTCTTGGATCCCTTGCCTCCCGGGAGAATTTTCTACTCAACTCAAGCGAGTCCTTGTGGGGAGCGTGAGGCCACAGAATCCCACCCATCCCGTCCCTCTTCCCACACTCGGGGGCGTGATGACAACAGGTGCCAGAGGCATGAGGAGCTGTCTCACCCCTGGGATCAATGCCAGAACCACGCTCTTTGATTGGGCCCGGAGCTGGGCATGGCCAGCAATCGATGAAGCTGTAAGTAGCCAGAGCAGAGGGTTATCAGGCAAGGCTGCATTCCTGACTGAACTCCTACGCTGAAGTCAAGAGGTCAAGAAGTGGCTCCATCTGTGCGGTACTGACAGCGCTCACTACCCACCACGCGTCCTGACCCTACTGGCCGGGAGGGCACGCTAAGCGTGCCTAGTGCGGGGCCCGGAGAAACATAAAGGACCGTTACAGGGACAGAAGAGGCCTTCGAGGAAGCAAGATCCCAGAGAGTAGAGGGCTGCCTCCACACCTCCCCTCAACGCCAAGATGTTCTTCAGTCCCAGCCGCTTGGCCTTGTGCAGGTAGCCTGTGATCTGTTCCTGGCTCTGACAGCAGCAGGTCATGTGCAGGATGGTCTCAAGGCCACAGTAGTTCACGGCAGTGCTGGCAATCATCATGGAAGAGGTCTCCTTGTCTGAGCCAGGGTCCCCTGCTGGGTGCCAGGTCACATCTATGAAGAGGGGGCCACCTGCCCCCATCCGATCAAACCTGTAGGTAAATTGCTTTCTGAAGAGGGGCTCCTGAGAGCACACCGCCCCTCACCACCTTCCCACGGGCTCTGGGAGGTAGGGAGACATCACAGGCAGGCCGTAACCAGACGATCTATATTCATATCTGGGCTCTGCTACTTATTAGCTGTGTGACCTTGGGAAAATTACTTAATCTGTCTGAGCCTCGGTTTTCTCATTTTAAAAACACACCAGAGAACACTACCTACTTCATAATAACAACACTATGAAAATATTACGATAGATGGCTCCACACACTGAACGCTCAATGTGAGCTCCTGTTATGATAATGATTTTTTTTTTTAAGGATTTTATTCGAGAGAGAGAGAGAGAGAGAATGAAGGGGGGTGGAGGAGCAGAGGGAGAGGGAGAAGCAGACTCCCCACTGAGCGTGACCTGAGATCATGACCTGGGCCGATGTCAGACACTTAACAGACTGAGCCCCCCCAGGCACCCCGATGATGATTATTATTGCAGAGATAAGTGATATCAACAACGCAACCGTTTTGTGAGAGGGCAGCCCTGCAGCCTTTTCAAAGTGCTTGCATATGTATCATCTCAGGTGAGTTAAGACATTTCGACAAAGGTACAGGGAACTCTCAGAGTGGCAAGCAGAGGCTCACTCCAGGAAGAGGAAAGAAAGGGTCAGCAGACACAAGTTTCTTTCATGCTACACCCCTCCCCCCACTGTGGTGCCAGCCAGCAGGCTTCTAGAACACAGCCACGATTCCCGAACGAGACTCAAGAGCCACAGGTGTGCACACACGCCTGTCTGACCATGGTATCACGGCTCTAACATGGTATTAAACACCCTTGTGCTGGGGCGCCTGGGTGGCTCAGTCAGTTGGGCATCTGCCTTCGGCTCAGGTCCCAGGGTGCTGCGATCGAGCCCCGCATGGGGCTCCCTGTTCAATGGGGAGCCTGCTCCTCCCTCTCCCTCAACTGCTCCCCTTGCTTGTGCTCCCTCTCTGTCAAATAAATAAAATATTCAAAAAAAATAAAATAAACATCCTTGTGCCTTTAAACTTCAAAACTTTCAGAGCAACACATGAAAAATGCAGATGGTAAAATGCATAAACTTTAAAAAAAAAAGAACCGCAATTCATAAGGCACTAACGTTAATTCTTTTGGCATTTCTAGATTTTGAGAGGCATTTAAGTTGAATTCCTAACTCACTGAAATGTTCTCCAAGCCACTGCTTTATGACTTCCTAAACTGTATTCATGCACCAGCCCCAAGTTCTGCCAAAGAATGCGGTCTGAGAGAATCAACTTTTTTAACTCCTTGAAGAATGTGTCTAAAAATTCCAGATGTGGGGCGCCTGGGTGGCTCGCTCAGTTAAGCGTCTGCCTCTGGCTCAGGTCATGATCCTGGGGTCCTGGGATGGAGCCCTGCATAAAGTCTGCTTCTCCCTCTCCCTGCCTCCCGCTCATGCTCTCTCTCACTCTCTCTCTCTCTCAAATAAATAAAATCTTTAAAAAAAAAAATCCCAGATGCTTATAGGGACTTTTGCTGACAGCTGAGAAGTTACAGCTCCAGTGGTCTACCCTGCTCTTTTCCATCCCCTCTGGCTGCTTTTTCCTGCCGGGTCAGAGTGTGGCCTGGCAGCAGGGCTGCGGCTTTGCCTTCCCCCCGCCCAGGGGCCCCCTCATTCCGATCCCACTCCCCAACTACATCAGCTCACCTTGAAATGAGATTGACAGCTCCCTCAGCCGTCCGAGGAGGGAAGAATTCCAGGGAGAACCACTTGTCACCAGATTCCATCCTCCGCCTCATCTTCTCCCTGAGTCTGTCGTGGCGCTCGGGGTCCAGCCCGGGCGTGGAACATCTTGAACTCTCCTTGGAGCTCTCGCTGCCGCTGCTGCTGCCCTCTGAGCGGGGAGGGGGGCCGCCATCCCCTCTGGGTTCGTTCACCATGGCCGGGTTCCTGCTGCACGGGTGGGGGCAGGAGCATCAGAGGGTAGGCAGCCAAGTCCCAGAGTGGCAGGGTCAAGTGAGATGCGGCATTTCCAGCAGGAAGAAGGCCAGGGAGGGTAAGGGTGACAATGCCCCCACCCAGTGACTCCGCATACCACAGCTGTGACTGTCTACGCCCTCCACAGCCCCAGGCTCCAAATAAACCAGCCCCACCCGGCACAGAAACATGCTCCTCCAGCCCAGGGATCCTCGGTGACAGCTACCTGATGGAGGGTGGCACTGAGAACCTCACCCTGCCGGTCTCCAAAGCCCACATTCCTAGGGAGGGGCCACGGGGTCTGGCTGGGAGAACCTTGGGTGTTGGATGGTCCATCTCTGCTAGCTGGGACCCAGAGTGGGCGGGGAAGAAATAAGAGGAAACTTTCCCAGCGAGTGTGTTCCTCTGGGCAGAGGAAGCTGTGACAAGGGAAGAGCCCAGAGCTAGACTAGCTGGGGCCCTGCGCAAGGGGGCGGGGGCAAGGCTTCCAGGCAAGAGGGAGGGCTGAGGCTCTAGTTGCAGAAGCCGGATTGAAGGAGGGGGATGTTGATTGGAGACTGCAGGGGTTGGTGGATAGGAGACCAACAGACGTTCAGGGTCACTGGATTACTCTCCAAAGAAGGCAGAGCTCAGCCTGGCCCTGCCTGGAACATCTCCTGTTACTTGAAACAGTCTGTCTGCATGCAGGTTGGAAAGAGTGTGGGCATGACAGAGCAGCCAGGTTTCTCCTGAGTTCGTGCTACTCCAAAAAGACCCTGTCATGGGTTAGAACTTGACATTGGCTGGATTCCACAAGTAACCAGACCCAAATTCAATTAAGGGCATGAATTTGTGTCCTACTCGGAACAAAAGCTGTCCCATCTGTGCCTGCATTCCAGGCTGTTCTCCTTACACCCAGCACCCAAGTCAGTTAATTAATTATAGTGACTGCACAGCCACCACATACGAAGCCCTGAGCCATGGCAACCACAGGCAGGCCAGCAGAGGGCACGGCGTCATTGGCCAGTTCGGTGGAGAAAACAAGACAAATACTTAAAAACAAGACAGAACACAACTCTTACACAGCAATGGGCAAACACCCATTTTTAGTAGTGAAAATCCAATGTGTGGTGACATGGGGCATCAGAGGAACAACCAGGCCAAGTTCATTCCTTTCAGGGAACAGCCACAGCTAAACCGGGGTTAACTATTTTGGGGTCCTAGACTCTTGAGAAATTGATGAACTCCACTACTCCTCTCCCCTGAAACGCACACAACACAAGCTCGTAGGTCCAAAGTCAAGGAGTCAAGGCCAAAGTAAAAAACAACAACAACAACAACAACAAAAAACACTTGTACCAACGATTTTTCTTCCTTGGGACGCCCATTTTGAGCCTGACCTAAAACTCCAGCTCCTCAGCAGGGATGGCCATCAGAAGTAAGGAGAGGAAGGATATCAAGACCAGCCTGGCTGACCCTTCTCCCGAATTCAAGAGAGTGGCTCATTGATTGCTGGAACAAAACCAAGGGAAGGGGAGGAAGCAGAACTACCTGCTCTTCCGTTTTACTTAAAAAAGACTTAACTGCATTCCTAGTAAGTGCCAAATACGTGCCTTTCTTCAACCTCCTTTCTCGCATCCCTTCTTACCCATCTCAAGATGGATTCTCACATTGGGTTGTAATTGTGGATTCACAGTTCTGGCTCCTCTCCAACCCCCCAGTTCCCTGAGACCAGGGCCCAGTATCCTGCCTGTGGCATCCGCCATGCCCGGCGCAGTCCTCACAACCAGCACTCAGTGAGCGCCAACGGGTCAAGCGCTGCCACCGTGTTCTCAAAATAACCCTCTGCCATCTCCTGACCGCTTGCTTAATCTGTGCCAAGCACCGTGGCACGAAAACGAAACCCACCCGCCCACCTGGGCGCAGCCCGCTGCACTGGCGCCGGAGACTGCGCCAGCCGCCTACAGGTGCTACAGCTGGGAGGCAGGTCTAAAAGGCCGGAGCCGGAAAGACCCCTCCGGCACCCGGCTCGACCCCCGGCTCAAAGACCACGAATCGAGTCACCGGGTCACTGGGTCAAGGTGGGGGCGGGGACGCGGGCCCAGACCCGGTCCCAAGGGGCTGGGTCTCCACCCCCGCCTCAGGGCCGCCTCCTCCCCCGGTGTCCCCTCCGTCCAGGCCGGGGGCTGAAGGTGAGTTTTCCCTTCAGGGCTGGAGGTCCCTGGGGGTCGCAGCCACCGGAGGTTACACCGGCCCCCCGGAGGGCTCGCGCGGAGGGGCAGAAGCCCAACCACCTCGAGGGGCGGGCCGTCCTCCCTCGCTCTCCGCCCCCGGGTGGGTGGTCTCCACTTCCCGGATATCCCTCCCTGGCGACCCCACACCCCGCCTCCACTCACCCTGCCGTCGCGGGTGACTCAGAGCGCGCGGGCCCGCAGCAGCTGCTTGACCAGTGCGTGGGCGCGTGCGGGAGGCGGGGCGCGCGGGGGCGGGGCGCGGCGCAGGTGTCAGGTTGCTGAGGGAGGCGGGACGAGAGGGCGGAAACCATCCGGGCTGGCGACCGGAAGCTCCGTCCCCAACATGGCCGCGCCCAGAGGTCTCGTTGGAAGCGGTCCCTCCACCGTCATGTGACGCGGGCCCTCGCCCCACCCGTCTGCAGCCACTCCCTGTCTCCGTCCCTAGTTCGAGAGGACCACGTGACGCTGTCGGGGCCAGTCACGTGAGGCGCGGATTCTGGGTGGGAGGGGGTTGGCGGAGGGTTCCAGAGTGGCAGTAAAGGAGGGAGATGGCGGGGTGTAGGGGGTCCCTGTGCTGCTGCTGCAGGTGGTGCTGCTGCTGCGGTGAGCGTGAGACCCGCACCCCGGAGGAGTTGGTAAGGAGCGGGAGGAGCCCAGCTGGGGAGAGGGCAGTTGCCAAGGGACGGCGAGAGGCGTTGCCGGGGGTGGGGCCAGGCCGAGCTGGGGCCTCAGGTGGCAGCGGGTGGGGCCCGGGCACCGCATCCTAGGCTCTCCAAGCATCTGCCGCGCTTCCCGTGTCCAAGTCTGGGGTCTTTTTTCATAACCCCTCCCTGGGATCTGAGGGAGAATCCAGGCCCGCTGCAGTTAATCCCGTCCATGTTTTCTTATATTTCCATGTGAGAGGAGTTTTGAATGAAACGAGCGTTTTCAGAGTGAGCCCCTTCACTGGACCTTGTGCTTATCAAAGCAGCTAGCTTAGTTTCTCCAGCCCTTTCTCACTGTATCCCTCACCTTTTCTGGGTCATTGATAATCCAGCTTCCCTCTGCAAAGGACCCTGGGAAAACTTGAGTTGCTGTGTCCCAGAGTTGACAGGTCCCTCCCTTCTGTTTTCAGATTCAGTACATTGTCCGATGGAACCTGAATTTTTTTTCTCCTTTATCTGGCATGGGAGATCTTTGAGGTGTCCTGAGGACAAGAGTGGTTATTTGGAGAACGTATCAGTAGAAACGAAGAGCTCGGCTGTGTGACTATAGATAGCCACCGACATCACCCCCATCCCCCCCAATTTTTTTTTTTGAGATCTTGTTCCCATTTGATAATAGTTCCAGATGATTTGGAAATTAGCAACAAAATTTCAATAGATACTCTGTCTCTTTCTACTTTTAATCATTTAAGTATGTAACCTTTTAACCATTTTGTGGATCTATTTTTCTAGACCATCCTTGGAGAAACACAGGAGGAGGAGGAGGAGATCCTTCCAAGGAAAGACTATGAGGTGAGATTCTTAGTTGCTGCCTGGGATAACAAGAGCAGTGAGTGAGCTGGGCACTTCAGACAGAAGCGTTAGGATTCTAAGGAGAGATGCTCTTCGACTGTCTCTCCCAGGGAGTGAATGAGTAAGAGGTAATTTCCCTCTCTGAAAGGGACTGTTTAACAAGCCCTTTTCTCACCATGACCCCAAAACAGGGTCTGATGTGTCTCTCTGTGTTCATAGATCTGTGGCACCTTAACCTAGATAGAGCATGTTTGCCATTAAACTATTTGCTTTTACAGCTAGAGACCCAGAGTGAAAGCCACTGCAGTGTGTACTCATAACGGGCTGGGACAGGAGACCTGCCTTCTCTTCTTAGAGAACTTATTTTTCAGGTGATTGTTTCCTGCCCAAGCAGCTTCCTCTGAAGTGCTCTTGATTGTAGTTCTGGTTCACGTATGGGATGCTAAGAGTGTGTGTGTGTTTAGTAAGGCTAGTGCTGCTGGAGTAAAACCAAGTTTCCTTTTTTATCATTTAGTCAGTTCCTCATAATGTTTCTCTGATTTTTGAAATAACAAAAACAAGCCATGGTTCTGATAGAGAATTCTTAAGCCGTTTACAAAAAGAAGCTAGAGAAAAACCCATAACCCCACCCATTAAAAGATAACTGTGAACCTTACTGAATATCCTTTTCCATGCTTACATTCCTGCTGCTTTTTTGAAATAACAGAAGCGAGATTCTGCTACATAGGCTATTTTCACATGTTTTCTCCTCAACTTGAAAGCAATTTTTGTACTGCTAATACGTTTTTACGATATCTTTTTAAATAGAGGAATACTCTTTTATTATGCCACAATTTATTCAATCTGATTTTTCTCTATGGTGAATGAGTCTTGACTATCTTTTCTTCTTCATCCTTAATTGCTTCTTTGAGCAATTCCAGGAAGCGTGATTAATCTTGTATGTTTAATGCATCTTTGAAAATGTCACGTAGTGGGGCGCCTGGGTGGCTCAGTTGGTTAAGCGTCTGCCTTTGGCTCGGACCATGATCCCAGGGTTCTGGGATCGCCTGCTTCTTCCTCTCCCTCTGCCTCCTCCCCCCTGCTCATGCTCTTGTTGTGTCTCTCTCAAATCAATAAATAAAAACCTTAAAAAAAAGTCACGTAGACTTTAAAAATTCAGTATTTTAGGGCAATAACATACTCAGACTAATTTTCTTTTTTAATATTTTATCTTTTGCTGTAGAATTTAGTGGAACTATTAGGATTTATTAGTATAACATGGAATTTTTTTTAAAACTTTCATTATAGAGAATTTCAAACATAAAGAAGAATGGACGGAATAGTATATTGAAACCCCCTGTACTCATCAGTTTCAACAGTCATTCAACTCATGCCCAACCTTGTTTCATCTGGCTCCTTCCCATATTATTTTGAAGAAAATTCTACACATCACATCATTTCACCCATAAATAATTCAACATGCCTCTCTAGAGGATGAGGACTTTTTTTTTTTAGCACAACACAATACCATTTTCATACCTAAGAAATTAACAATAATGCCTTGATATTAAATATCCAGTGTTCAGATTTTCCAGTTGTTTTATAAATGTATAATTTTTTAATGTCCTATAATTTTTAAATTACTGTTATTACTTATTAATTATTATTGTTTGAATCCAGTTTCCAATAAGGTACTCACATTGCATTTGTTTGATTATCTTTTAAATTTTCCTTCAACTTTTTTTTTTAAATATCTCTACCCCCAACATGGGGCTCAGACTTAGAACCCCAAGAGTTGTGAGTTTGCAGGCTGAACCAACTGAGCCCACCAGGTGCCCCCCTTTAAAATTTTTTATAGTCTGTAGATTCCTCCTTCATCTTTTTTTCCCTTGCAGTTTACTTGACAGAATATTTTTAGGACTCTGAAATTTGCTCTGAAAATTGCCCTACCATGGTATAGTTTAATATGCTACACTGATGGGAATGCTTTTAATGAATCAAAATCAAAAAGCACAGTATCTACTGATGTATTTTCCCATATTTCTAAAATATTTTTCTCCTTGCACATAGCTGAGAGGTTTGCAAGAAATAGTATAAGAAGCCCCATATTGTGCTGTCACCTTACACTCCCTCATTGAACCCTGTGATGTCACCCTGACTGTGTGACCGCGACTGGAACTTTCTGGCAGCCTTCATCTGTTCCCTGGAGCTCACCTGGCTTCTCTTCTCCATTGACCCTGCTGTTTCCAAGTCTCCTTTGCTCCTTTTTCTAAATTTTGTATTTGTAATGCATTTACTTTCACCTGATATGCATACTTACGTAAATCTTATGGGTTAACGTTTGTTTCATGTGAGTCATTAATATTTCTCAATTAACTATATTCAAGTATGAGCTTCTTCAGAATATTTGCTTTGTATTAGAGCAAATTTAGCTAGACGCTTACTCTGAAAAGTCTGCTCGGATTTTACTAGGGATCAACTAGAAAACCCATCTGTTGAAAATCTTTCTAAAATGTGCTTTTTCTTCTTCCTGCCTTACTAAGAGTTGACTGCACCTACTTGACTGATAAGTTGGGGGTCTTACGAGATGTTAGAATCCCTGGTTTGACATCCGTTCTCTTTCTAGATGGTTTGAGTTAACAGTAACCCTCTATCTGTGGGATGGGGCTGTTAACCATGTTTTCATGCAGGTCACAGAGCCTGCGTTGCTCTTTTGAATTAGAAAAAGGCATCCCTCAGAGCAGAGGACTTAGAATAAAGAGCCTCTCCCTCTGGGCCACAGCAACTCCCCTAGCTCAAGGCCCATTGAGGGTGCTGCTTGTGTGAGCACTGAGGTGCCCTTCCTTGGTTGAACATGGGCTGCCTTTCAGCCCTGCTTACCCCTGTGGCCACACGCCGTTTGGCTAATACCTTGGGCAGCAGCCCTGCAGGACCCCTATATAAATTTTGTTTTTTTTTTTTAATTGTTAAAAAAATAAAAAATAAACATCTGTCTCTGTGGGACCCATCGTAATTATCTTATTATTATATGGTTTTCTATATTTAGATATTTGATCATTGATTTAAAAAGTTGCCGGCTGATGCACCAGGACCCTTTTTAAAAAGGTATTTGGACTTTGGGTATAGATATAGATGGAATAAATTATCAGATGTCACGCCTGTGTTTGGCTGACTGCTAAGTCTTGCACGGAGTGTGGCCACCAGGCCGGTGTCTAGCTTGTTCACCAGCTGATGTGTAGGTTGCAACAGGTTTAGGAAAGAGAGAACACACAGCAGACCATTTTCCTTTGTTGCCAGACTCCTGCCTCTCTTAGAAAACACAGAAGAAATAAAATTAGTTCCTTTGAATT